TTTTTTTTTTTTTTTTTTTTTTTTTTTTTTTTAATCAAACGTTCTTACCTTTGGCATAGTAATAATTTCCATGAAAACGGTTTCATTGATTTCCTCGTGGGAAAGAAATGGGAAGCAATAAAAATGGGAGAATGAAACTAAGAAAGGAAAGAAAGGAAGGAAAGAAGGAAGGAAGGAAGTTCCACGCGAGACTCTCCTGCGGTTAGAAAGTATGAGAGTTTAAATTCGTAAGAATAAGAGAAAGATGGCTGAACTAGCAACGAATGAAAAAGAAACAGAAAGGGAGAAGGAAAGAACGAATAGAAGAAGAGAACGATGTTCTATACTCTACCATCATCCTCCTCGTCGTCGTCGCCGTCGTCGTCGTCGTAGTCGTGGTCGAGGGGGTATGGAGGGAATGGGAGGGGAAGGGGAACAGAGGGCGGCGTTCTGGGTTTCTGGGTTCGACTCCCTCCCTCCCGCCCGCCCCCCTGCCGCGAACTTCGGAAAGGCTGCTGTGTGCGGCGAATGTGGAACAGTAGGTCAGCGCACTCCGTGACCCCCGCCACGGCCTACCCCTCCTCGGTACATACACCCTGATGCGATACGTACGACCCCTCTCTATTTCTCTTTCTCTCTCTCTCTCTCTCACTACTTCTACCACCCGTTTCTTCCTTCCCTTTCATCCTCCTCTCTCGCGCGCGCTCTTCCCCTAGCTTTCCACCCCCTGTAACCTCTCCTACCGATCGCGTTACCTTACGCTTACGTTACTATGCGCCGAGTACATCAAACCACACGCACATTCTAACCGATTCTTCATTATTTTCGATAAATTATTGTCTTTGTCTTTCTTCTATTAATAATTATTCCTATTCTTTGTGTATTTTACTTCCATTCGCGTCTTTGGTCAATCTTTTTGTTTTTCATTCTATTACAATACTGTTTTGATATGTTTATTATTCTATTCGAATCCATTTCAATATACGTTATCGTAATGTTAAATCATTTTATTTTCTGTTTGTTTATTATATTATTCTACGAAGTTTTACCATATGTTTGTATAGAAAAGAATTGATTTTTTTTTGTTCCCTTTAGAAGTTAATTGTCGAAACGTAGACCTTGAAATATTAAAGCAAAAGAAGAAAAGAGTAAAAGGAAGAAAAAGAGGTTCGTTCGTTCGTTTTTCTTGACCGATCGCGTTAAGCCAACCATAAACTTCTTTCAACCACTAACGTCTTTCTCAGATCGAAGAAGAACACGGTTATTTTTCACTTCCCACCCCTTCGTTTTCTATCTTACTGTCGTACGACGCCATCCTCTATCGCGCTTCTCACGGTCCATGCACGTCTATGAAAAGCACAGGGACCCTTATCGTTCGGGGACGAGGGGAAGGCGGTAGGGAATCAACGGGGAATATTTTACGGAAGTACGTACGTACCTTATTTACTCGCATCATTCTCCTTTTCTCCCTTATTTTAATACTACTATTATATATTTATATTGCATATAGTATTACAAGAAGCCCTTCTCGATCCCTTCAAGGAATTATCTTCCAAGAAAATACGCACCAACACTTCAAGCTCGGACTATGTATAGTATAATATAACATAATCGCGTATGTAATATCGTGATAAAATCAATATATCCTGACTACACATATACGTGTACATATACATACACGTGCGCACACATATATATACAATACATATGTACGTCTTCCGATCGTCTAACGATACATTTTCCCCTTCGTTCCTATATACGTTGTTCATTTATTCAATGAATCGGAGAATCGTTCGGAACACGACATTCGACCCGCATCCATCTCTCGATATCTCGCGTGAAATTATTTCCATATCGTTTTTATTAAAAAGAAAATGTATATACATACATTTAAACGTTTATAAGTTTATCGATATACCGAACGTTAAACCGACTCGACGTCGTGAGTTGAAGTTAAACTCGAGTCTGGATTTCCCACGTAACGTTTTTTCCCTTTCGATATACTCCCTTAACTATCCCATCCATTCGAAATTTATGGAACCGCGAGCTTAGATATCCCTAACTTTCTCTTTGCTTCACTTCCTATGATATCTACGCGCGCACACACACGCGTAAAATGTATTCACACAAACGTGTGTATAGGTAAGAAATAAAAAAAACACACAATCGT